GGCAGCCAATGGGATCAGGGGCACACCTGCTTTTACATCAGCCATTATAGGTTGGTCGAATTCTTCGTCAGATTCATCAGAAGAGTACGTTTGTGGAATAGGCTTCGTTACGTCAAGTGGAGATTTGGGTTTGTCGTCTGGTTTTGAAATCAGTCCTATAGGCTTAACACCTTTGTCTTCTGGTTTGGCAGCCAATGGAACCAAGGGTACACCTGGTTTGACATCAGCCATTTTAGGTTTGTTGAATTCTTCGTCACATTCATCAGAATAGTATGTTTGTGGAATAGGCTTCGTTACGTCAAGTGGAGATTTTGGTTTGTCCTCTGGTTTTGAAATTGATTCTATAGGCTTAACACCTTTGTCTTCTGGTTTGGGAGCCAATGGAACCAAGGGCGCACCTGGTTTGACATCTGCTATTTTAGGTATTTCGAATTCTTCGTCAGATTCATCAGAAAAGTACGTTTGTGGAATAGCCTTCGTTACGTCAAGTGGAGATTTGGGTTTGTCCTCTGGTTTTGAAATTGGTTCTATTAGCTTAACACCTTCGTCTTCTGATTTGGCATCCAATGGAATCAAGGGTACACCTGGTTTGACATCTGCTATTTTAGGTATATCGAATTCTTCGTAAGATTCATCAGAAAAGTACGTTTGTGGTACAGGCTTCGTTACGTCAAGTGGAGATTTTGTTTTGTCGTCTGGTTTTGAAATTGGTTCTATAGGCTTAACACCTTTGTCTTCTGGTTTGGCAGCCAATGGAACCAAGGGTACACCTGGTTTGACATCAGTCATTTTAGGTGTGTCGAACTCTTCATCAGATTCATCAGAAAAGTACGTTTGTGGAATAGGCTTCGTTGCGTCAAGTGCAGATTTTGGTTTGTCGTATGGTTTTGAAATTGGTTCTATAGGCTTAACACCTTTGTCTTCTGGTTTGGCAGCAAATGGAACCAAGGGTACACCTAGTTCGACATCAGCCATTTTAGGTTTGCCGAACTCTTCATCAGATTCATCAGAAGAGTACGTTTGTCGAATAGGCTTCTTTAGGTCAAGTGGAGATTTTGGTTTGTCGTCTGGTTTCAAAATCGGTTCTATAAGCTTAACAAATTTGTCTTCTAGTTTGGCTGCCAATGGAACCAAGGGTACACCTGCTATGACATCAGCCATTTTTGGTTTGTCGAAATCTTCATCAGATTCATCAGAAGAGTACGATTGTGGAATAGGCTTCGTTACGTCTAGTGGAGATTTGGGTTTGTCGTCTGGTTTCAAAATCGGTTCTACATCCTTACCACCTTTGTCTTCTGGTTTGGCAGCCAATGGAACCAAGGGTACATCTGGCTTGACATCAGCCATTTTAGGTTGGTCGAATTCTTCGTCAGATTTATCAGAAAAGTACATTTGTGGAATGGGTTTCGTTACGTCAAGTGGAGATTTTGTTTTGTCGTCTGGTTTTGAAATTGGTTCTATAGGCTTAACACCTTTGTCTTCAGGTTTGGCAGCCAATGGAACCAAGGGTACACCTGGTTTGACATCAGTCATTTTAGGTGTGTCGAACTCTTCATCAGATTCATCAGAAGAGTACGTTTGTGGAATAGGCTTCGTTGCGTCAAGTGGAGATTTGGGTTTGTCCTCTGGTTTTGAAATTGGCTCTATAGGCTTAACATCTTTGTCTTCTGGTTTGCCAGGCAATGCAACGAAGGGTACACTTGATTTGACATCAGCAATTTTAGGTATGTCGAACTCTTCATCAGAAGAGTACGTTTGTGGAATAGGCTTCGTTACGTCAAGTGGAGATTTTGGTTTGTCGTCTGGTTTTGAAATTGGTTCTATAGGCTTAACACCTTTGTCTTCTGGTTTGGCAGCCAACGGAACCAAGGGCACACCTGGTTTGACATCAGCCATTTTAGGTTTGTCGAACTCTTCATCAGATTCATCAGAAGAGTACGTTTGTGGAATAGGCTTCGGTACGTCAAGTGGAGATTTTCGTTTGTCGTCTGATTTTGAAATTGGTTCTATAGGCTTAACACCTTTGTCTTCTGGTTTGGCAGCCAATGGAACCAAGGGTACACCTGATTTGACATCAGCCATTTTAGGTTTGTCGAAATCTTCATCAGATTCATCAGAAGAGTACGATTGTGGAATAGGCTTCGTTACGTCTAGTGGAGATTTGGGTTTGTCGTCTGGTTTCAAAATCGGTTCTACATCCTTACCACATTTGTCTTCTGGTTTGGCAGCCAATGCAACCAAGGGTACACCTGGCTTGACATCAGCTATTTTAGGTTGGTCGAATTCTTCGTCAGATATATCAGAAAAGTACATTTGTGGAATGGGTTTCGTTACGTCAAGTGGAGATTTTGTTTTGTCGTCTGGTTTTGAAATTGGTTCTATAGGCTTAACACCTTTGTCTTCTGGTTTGTCAGCCAATGGAACCAAGGGTACACCTGGTTTGACATCAGTCATTTTAGGTGTGTCGAACTCTTCATCAGATTCATCAGAAGAGTACGTTCGTGGAATAGGCTTCGTTGCGTCAAGTGGAGATTTGGGTTTGTCCTCTGGTTTTGAAATTGGCTCTATAGGCTTAACACCTTTGTCTTCTGGTTTGGCAGGCAATGCAACGAAGGGTACACGGGATTTGACATCAGCCATTTTAGGTTTGTCGAAATCTTCATCAGATACATCAGAAGAGTACGATTGTGGAATAGGCTTCGTTACGTCTAGTGGAGATTTGGGTTTGTCGTCTGGTTTTGAAATTGGTTCTATAGGCTTAACACCTTTGTTTTCTGGTTTGGCAGCAAATGGAACCAAGGGTACAACTGGCTTGACATCAGCCATTTTAGGTTTGTCGAACTCTTCGTCAGATTCATCAGAAGAGTACGTTTGTGGAATAGGCTTCGTTGCGTCAAGTGGAGATTTTGGTTTGTCGTGTGGTTTTGAAATTGGTTCTATAGGCTTAACACCTTTGTCTTCTGGTTTGGCAGCAAATGGAACCAAGTGTACACCTGGTTTAACATCAGCCATTTTAGGTTTGTCGATCTCTTCATTAGATTCATCAGAAGAGTACGTTTGTGGAATAGGATTCGTTACGTCAAGTGGAGATTTTGGTTTGTCGTCTGGTTTTGAAATCGGTTCTATAGGCTTAACAAAATTGTCTTCATGTTTGGCAGCCAATGGAACCAAGGGTACACCTGATTTGACATCAGTCATTTTAGGTTTGTCGAAATCTTCATCAGATTCATCATAAGAGTACGATTGTGGAATAGGCTTCGTTACGTCTAGTGGAGATTTGGGTTTGTCGTCTGGTTTCAAAATCGGTTCTACATCCTTACCACCTTTGTCTTCTGGTTTGGCAGCCAATGGAACTAAGGGTACACCTGACTTGACATCAGCCATTTTAGGTTGGTCAAATTCTTCGTCAGATTCATCAGAAAAGTACATTTGTGGAATGGGTTTCGTTACGTCAAGTGGAGATTTTGTTTTGTCGTCTGGTTTTGAAATTGCTTCTATAGGCTTAACACCTTTGTCTTCTGGTTTGGCAGCCAATGGAACCAAGGATACACCTGGTTTGACATCAGTCATTTTAGGTGTGCCGACCTCGTCATCAGATTCATCAGAAGAGTACGTTTGTGGAATAGGCTTCGTTACGTCAAGTGGAGATTTTGGTTTGTCGTCTGGCTTTGAAATTGGTTCTATAGGCTTAACACCTTTGTCTTCTGGTTTGGAAGCAAATGGAACCAAGGGTACACCTGGTTTGACATCAGCCATTTTAG